CAATCTCTAGTTTCAGTTTCAGATCAATGTCTGTTACGGGCAAGGAGGATGTATACGAGAGCGAAGATTTGCCCGAGTCGGAACAGTTCATCAATAGTTTCTCTGCGAGGTCTACAGTCGATTCCACAGATAATGAAAATATTGAACTGGTTGGTTAATTATTACTTCGTATTTCTTTAGTGGCTTGATGGAAGAACTGATTCGCTTTCAAAGACTTGTAGCTGTATGATATCTCTTTTCTTGGCTGCAGCATAAGTCTGCTGCCCTTCAAACTCTTCAGCTGTGGAATAAAATATGGATGCAACAATTTACACACGCCAGTAAGATAAACATTCTTCAGGGCCAGGTCATACTTTGCAGTTCAAGTGTGGAGTGTGCGTATTGATCATGCGGCCGCACGATCGATACTTATATGCTCCAAAATCAATTCAAAGCAAGATCCACCCTTACGTTAGAGCTTTGAACTCCATTTTGTCTCAACAGAGTATGAACCGGCGGTGAAGCGGGTGGACACGCCAATTTTTGATGTACTCAAATCAAATAATATGCTTACCCACCAGCAGTTCGTCCTTTTTCTAAAGGTAAGCCCAGGAAAAGGGGGAATCCGAAGGGTACTGAGTTAATTGGTGTGAAGGGTGGGGAGGGAGGCATCATCGCCGCGCCGCACAGCATGTTCGTCCCTACTCAGCAGGATAGTCTAGGAAACACTGCACACTTCAGGGCACGCTCCGCCCATTGTGGGCGGGCCTCCGCCCACGTCATGTATGCTGGGAACACCTTAGACATTGCTCCCCTACACCAATTTGTTTTCTGCTCTGTAGGCTTTCTCCCAACCGAGTTATGAATTTTTCATAAAGCACTGCTTTTTTGGAGAACGCCCCGCCCACCGGGGGTGGGTCTCCCTAATTCGATGTGACTTACCAATGCACACCTTTACCCACTTTTTCCCAGTTTCGAGGCTGTTTTGTCACTGAAATTGAAATCTTGGTCGTCAGTACCGTTCATTTCGATGCACGCCACGCCCACTGTGGGCGGGGCTCCGCTTAAGCTGATGTATGTTTCGTACTTCGAGACCTTGGCCCACTGTTGACCCAGACTCTCGAGGCGATTCCCCAGGATCAAGAGAATTTCGTGACAGACATAAAGAACGACAGACGAAGCGCTTTATAGTAAGTAGGATCTTATAAAAAATATTGTATGTCGTATAAAAACAGGTTGGCATTCAAACATTCCCAACATTATGAGCTATTTCAGTCATGGCTGACCCAAACATTGCATGGTAATTATATTGCTGTAGAAAGGTGATGCTTGATTCCAGATCCACTTGGACATTGATGCAGCTCGAAAACGGTTCAAGGACCGCACTCTCAACACGCAGAATATGGTGCGTGACTATTCCTTCGGAATTCCAGGTTGCTTCGATTAATCGTTAATCTTCAGACTTCTCCGACTCAATCGCTAAAAGGCGAGGGAAATCGTATGGAAGTTCAATGTACGTGCTAGAAGTCGTGGGTAAAGGTAAGGTACAAGTTTATTTTGCTTCTCGCACTTTTTTACGACATATTCCCAATATATTTCAGATATAGCGAGCCTGAACTACTGAGCAGAATTCATAGAATAGCATGCGAAATTGATGAGTTAGCACAACAGCTGCAGGTTTCACACGTTTTGAACAGTGTTCTTTTTTATGCGTTAAAATACTTCATGTTCAGGAGGACTCGGCTAAGACTACGCCTATGGTGAATGAATCTTCGCTTGCTGCATTAGCTGAAGAACTCAAGGTGCTGTTTGATTTGCATTTCCTGCGCTGCTACATTCGTACTTTTTTCAATCGCTTTCATGGTAATTTGCCCTCTAGACAAAGCAAGCGGTAATTATGGAATTATATGCAAAAAACTATACATTAATAGCATTATAAGTGAAATGGGTATCGAGTGCAACAACCTACAACTGAATATCAACAACACTAATAATACATACACTTATATAAACTCAACAACCCAAAACGACATAATTGAAAAACACAAGAGTTTCAATAACAATAACAACATTAAAAACTTGTCTAATATGAATGTACCAATAATTTACGCCATACCTAAATTACATAAATCACCTATCAAATTCCGATTTATAACAGGTGCCAAAAATAGTAGCCTAAAACCATTATCTATCGAACTCACGAAACTTTTAACTTTCATACGAACGCACTTTCTTAACTACAACAATACTATTAAGAACAGAAACACTCAATTCATAGGCTATTGGGCAATCAATAACATAAACATTAGCGAACAACTCCAAAACATACGCATGGATAACATGAAACTTTTTTCGGCGGACTTTACGAATATGTTCACCAACCTACCACATTCTCATATTATAAAAAATGTTAGAGAAATATTAAAAATATGTTACAAAAATAGCAACAAAAAGTACATTGCACACAATGAACGGAAAACTTTTTACACTAATAACACATCTTATAAGAACTTCAATTATTACACAATTTCAGATATAGTCTACCTTTTGGATTATCTTTTGAAAAACAGCTATTGTAAATTTGCAGAACACCTCTTTGTACAGAAAACGGGAGTACCACAAGGTAGCAATGTTAGCCCTCTATTAGCTGATCTCACATTATCATACTTTGAATATATCTATTCACTTACTCATAACAGTACAAAAAACCTACAATTTAGACCTTTCAGATATATGGATGATATCCTTGTAGTACACAATCTAGATACACAAACTGTTCTAGATAAACTAAACCAAATATACGAAAATATTTTGAAATTGGAAGTTACACACACTGACGAATATAGATGTAATTATTTAGATCTAGAAATCAATATAGATCTAAATAAAATACAGACAAAAATGTATAATAAGACGGACTATTTCAACTTCAACATAAAACGCTTTCCAAACTCAACAACAAATATTTCGTGTCACATTAAACACAATACGATTTATTCCGAAATTTTAAGAATAGCTCGAACATGCTCCAATAAAAAGGATTTCATAAGTAGGTTAAAATATACTAGAAACCAATTAAACGAATCTGGATATAGTACAGATATCTTTATTATCAATCTGATAAAGTGCTCTGCTAAAAACACTTTTATAAAATATAAATATGAACTAAAAATGGACGATTTACTAGAGTTTCTTCGAAAACTTGATGACCCTTGAAAAGGAAATGAATATGCATCGGTAGAGAATGATAAACAATGATAAAACTTTCACACGTTATATCAAGACTAGCCTCTCATTTTATATCTATCTACTATTCGAGGAGGCAGGACAAGAGGTGAGTTCAATTTTCTATACAAATTCATTGAATAATAAACAAACTCTTTCACTTTTTCATGAAAAACTGTAATTATATGTTAGATAAATCTAATTAGCTATAAAAAACTTTAATTTGTATTAAACCTTAATTAACTCAAATACTAATAATTCATTCACGCTAACAACTTTTGAAAATTTTATTTAATAAATACTACAATAATGTAAATCAAATTCTTTATACCTCTCCTCCCTTACTGATGAGCACAGGGAGAGGATACTCTTTCGTTTAGTCTCCGTCTAAGGGCACGTGCGAAACGGAGACTAAACTACTCTTTGAATCCCACCCCCTAAATAAATTTTGAATAAAACATATAAAAATATTGAGATCGAAAAATAAAAACAAAAACAGTTTAATTTCACAAATACAAAAGTTTAATCATATATAAAGCCATTACTTTTATTACATTAAGGGCGTGAAAGTATCGAAGGTCTCTGGTGGTGCACCGGTTTCTAAGGAGAAGGAAACTCCAGCGAAATCGGACAAGTCTGCCGACGGCAAGGTACAATGCTTACTTTTTTCAACCTCTTGTATATCGGACATTTTTGACTTGGGAATATTCTCTCGTTTCTGGGTCGTTTCGTTCTGAAAGAGGCAGAAGAGGTGATGTATTTAGATTTGTTCTCACTGTAGTAGTATTCTGCAGTTATCCATGAGTGAGGTCTGATGAATGTCGAGTTTCTTTCGATTCAAATCGCCAGTCACAAAGTTGCTTTGTAGCTTCTCTCCTTGGAACAACGTTTACGTCGAATTGAGACGTTGGTGGGAGAGACAGATCCGTGTCGCCAGCCTATCGCAGATTTCATGGAAGACATTCGGTATGTTGTTTATTCAGACGAATTTTCAACTCATTGACCTGTCATCAAATGCTCTACTTTGTTCTGAATAGCCCGAGTTGAACTTGATCAAAATAGAATGAAATCCCCTGAATGTGTGCCTCCATGTCGCAGTCGCATAAAGTGAGTAATATTCAGGTTCCGCCTTGATGCACTCAATCCTTCATATATAGAAGGAATGGAAACGAGGCTAAACTCCATCCTTTCAAAACTAGATCAGGTAATACATTTCCATTAACAGTAGACTAATTTATGACTTGAAGTTGGCCACACTTTAAATGTGTGTTGACCACTGGATGTTTTGTAAGTTATGCTTCTTTGCATTTGATCCAGTAATTTTGTACTCGTGCTAAAGATTTGTATATTACTCGTGCTAAAGATTTGTATATTCCTTAGTTTTTATGAGTATGTAAACCAGGGCTATTATGTATTACTGACGAATCAAAATATTACGTATTGTTAACCAACGTCAAATTTCACGAGGATGGCAAACTTATTACGTATTTTTATTCGTTTCATTCATAACCGGTTTTCATAACCGGTTTTCACGGGGCTACTTGCGAACTCTCGCAGCCGAGACTGTGAAAATAAATGCACGTTCAAAATCAAGGTTTTTTCTCGCATAAAACTCTAATTGAGGAACGGTTCATACGGAGGGACACGGTGGGATGTTCGAGGTTTTTTTTCAGTGAGCTCTCATTGGTTACGATCTTCCCATTTAATGTACTCGGCCCTGGCAGAATGATGGATGTGTTTTTACTTTATTCAACTGTGGTATTCAAAGGGATTTGTGAAAATTATTTTGTCTAGGTTGACGATAAGAGGCAAAAGTCCGTGGATGGCGAAATGGAAACCAAAGTTAATGATTTGTTAGAACTCATGAGCAAATGGGATGTCGTATGTGCTGCAATGCCTAGCAATTTGAAGAAGATTCAGGGATTACATCGACTTCACGAGCAAGGTTCCTCATTTTATCACTTCTTTTTTTATAAATTTTATTGTGTTTATACATTTACATGACACCTACCTAGTAGAGTATGTTTTTGTATGAAACAAGCCTGGCGAAATTGTTCGCAAGGCTCCGCAAGGAATGACAACTCTGCTTCAGTAACTTAGCATTTCAGCGCAACATTTCTCTGAAAGGCTTTCGCAGTTGATTGGTGTACGAGACCAGATTGAAAAGGCAATTGCAGCCGATCGGATGGCCATGTGTGAACTTCAGGTAAACCTAATTCCTCTAGGATAATTCATTTTTATTCAGTATTGTTCAGAATTACCCGATATTTGGTTAAAAGTTTTTAAAAGATTCTAGCTATACAGAAAATCTGAGTGCGATTGTTGAACTGTTTGGCGTAATGTAATGCTATGCGAAAAAATCCCTCCCAGCTTTCGGTGATACGTACATACATGGTGTGTATCGGTCTTCTGGGGCCGTATGCTATGCTTCCCCGAAGCTAGGTGACGCAAAGTTTCCTTTAAATTTATTTGCTTTGAATGATGTCGCTTCTTCATTTTCAATGCATGTTTACTTTAACCTACATACATACATTTAATGTAGGCCTTTTATCAGGGTAATCCCAGTTGGGAAGACAGAGAAAATTTAAAGGAATTTCGTCCCCTAACCCCTTCGGGGAGCATAGCATACGGCTCCTGAATGTAAGAGTTGCATTCAGAAGACCGAAACACTGCATTCAGATCAAGATCAACAAAAGCTAAACCTTGCAGTTAATTCTACGGCTTGCTTGGTTTGTCTTACTGATGAAGGTTAGCGCAAAAGACGTTCAAATGATAGATCATCACGTTGTCTGAAGTAATAGAATACTTGGACACCTCGCAACGAGTTTAATTGCTACTTTGGGTATTATTTTGAAGGCGCCTGAATGCGACATTTAATTACTTGGGTGGAATTGTCGGCAGTGAGAAGCGTCGCAGTGTTTCAAGGTGGATGGTTTTAGCGGCTACACGCGCGTTTTTTGCTGGTAAAATGCTACCATCTGCTCTAAGGTGGGACCTTGTTTGATTTCTGGATCCATCCTGGAGCCCACCCTCATAGTCAGCCCAAATCGCGCCTTCAAATATTTAAGTGAGGACATTCTTTTGTTTGTGCGTTTCATTCATTGAAAGAAAACTCAAAATCTCAGTAAAATTTCAAAAATTTTCATTTCCTCAGAAATTGAGACTAAAATTTTAAGTTCACACTCTCTAAATCGATGGTGAACTTATAAGTCGGTCACCTATTATCTCATTCCGAGGTCTTTCGAAAAACGCGAAAATTCTCTTGTTAGCTGGTAAGGCAATCATAGTGTAAATGTGTGATTAAAGTCTGCAACAGATGAAATGCAACTGAGCTTCAATTTCAGGTGAAAGCGAAGGAGGACATATCAGCGGTGCTTGGTCAAATTGCCAACCTCGAGGAAAGACTGAAGGCTATCAAGCAATGAGCGTTTTTTGTTACACTCGTTGTCGCACACAAGAACGTGTATTTGGTGGCCCGTTCTGCATAATCCGTCAGCTGAAAATTTTGTAAAAATGTATTCATGTTGTTATCGACGGAGGGCTGCTTCAAGCCCTTGGAAAGGCGGTTCAGCATCCCACCTAATCGTCACTTCTGCGTAAGTTCCGGCATAGGCCTAGGCTTCATTCATTTTCCCCACTATTTGTAGCTTCTCGTCTATTTATATGGTTTGAAGAAGATAATAAATTCAAATTTTTTGTGATTGCTCATGTTGGCTAATTATCTTAAAGGCAGAATTTACGATGAAAAGTTAGCTCATTGGAAATAAGGGTAGAGGTGGTCAGTGGAGCAGGGATGAAGAAGAAACCATTTGAAACGGCCCGAAACCCGAGAAATGGGACCCCTTCCTTGCCCGTTGATTTGCGCATTGATGCGACTCATCGCTGTGCCCTCTTCAACACTACGCTCTCTCTGCTATCTAATCACTCACGTATAGACCTGCGGCGAGTGATTAGATAGTCGGTGGGCGTACCCCGCCAACCGCGCCAAGAGTGAGCCATGCTAGATCGCCGAGGTCAAATCTTTCGCTGCCAATTGCGCGTCGGTCAGCACCCTCAGGAGGTCCGCCTGTCTCCCAACTATGCAATTTTCCCCTTCTTTGACCTTCGTTCTTATCGTGAATTCCTCTTTAAAAACTAGTCAAACTCCTATCAGTGGCCGAGTTTATGATAAGCAAAAGAACAAAAGGATTCATAACTTGCAGGAAACGGTTCGTTCGAGGAATGGAGCCGCGTTCGTTGTGAATGATCAGAGTGTCAATGTTTATTTTTTCCTTTTCATGATTAAAATTGAATGGCAAGAAAATGACTGCG